TTAAGAGTTCGCACTTTTTCCTATGTGGTACAAATTTTGAACAACCACTTTACTAGCTTACTTTATTTTTCAAATACTCATATTTGAGTACGGATATCCCATTCAGGCCTTTTTTGTTTTAGACACAACATATATCGTTTCAAGATTGTCACGAAATAGAACACACATAGCACACTAAGGATTATATATATATATGTGTGTGTGTGTGTGCGCGCGCGCGTGCGCGCGCTCAAAGTTTAATAAAAAATATATAATTTTTTATTAAATTTTCCAACAGTATAACACTACAACTATTGTATTACTTTAGCAATAATAATAACAACCTAAATTTTGAATGTTATGTTGGTGTTTTTATTATTGCATGTCTATCTAGTCCAATGCAATTTATATGAGTGTTAAAATAACTTATTTGTGACCTAATACAAGTCATGTGGTGTGCAATATATACTTGTATAATGTCGTCCTGATTGTTACAAGAACAAATATGGTGGCCAAAGGGCTCGACACCGAAATCTAAACAAAGTTTTAGAGTAGAAGTACATTGTAAGAATGCCCTAAAAATAGTATCTCAATGTAGAAGGGGTAATTTGATTAAGGTTGACTTAGTAAGTTTAGAGAGCTAACTATAGTGACTCTAGTTTGTTTTAATGCCATCAAACGTAGGACTAAAATTTTTTGGACCAAAAGTATATGGTTGATAGTATGTGCTAACTTCAACCACATCACTAGTAAGGTCGGCTAACTTCAATGAGCTTCGCTAGATTTTTATTTTATTTATTTTTTTATTTTTTGAAACCGAAAATTAGAATATCGACTTTGATTTGAAAGAATCATTCTTTACTATAAAGCTAGAGGCTCGTTGATAGCTTGGCTATAATTAAAGACAATAGCTTGAATCCACTTGGTTAGAATTAAGGACAATGAACCTTACATGATCCACCAAGACATCTTGGAACAACTTTGATCATCGACCTTATTTTATCAGGAGTTCTAACATATTTTTAATTTATTGTGTTTTAGGTCAAATATAAATTAAAATATTAAAATAAGATAATATAAATAAATAGATTAAGAAATATATATGTTTTTAGAAACATGCGACAAATAATAAACTTTTCATGCTACAAATACTTTTAAAAGAGGGGTATTTGAGATTGTTTATTTAAAACTTTTAGTTGGTTTTTTTAAAATGTTTATTAATTGATAAAACGACATTTAATAAAATGTGTTTGTGGTAACTCATGTGGTACAAAAGGTATTAAGTTTATAAGTTATTTTTTAGCATCTAAGTCACTCTGTTGATACATGTAAAACGACCAAAAGGAAAAATCTTTAAGTATGACTCACATTTTTGTTACATATATTACAGTTGTATTTTATCATATATATATATATATATATATATATATATATATATATATATATATATATATATATATATATATATATATATATATATACAAAACTGCACAAATGGTCCCTGTGGTTAGCTGGAAATTGTCACTTTGGTACTAGCACCAGAGGTCCAAACTTTTCATTTTGTTGCGAGTTTGGTCCGATTTGCTTTAAACTTTTTTGTAAAGACGATTTTGCCCCTTACTATTTAATTTTTCATTTTTCTTTTATTACATCAATTAAAAATAATTAAAAATAAAATACCCCTTCTTTCTCTCTCTCTCTCTCTCTCTCTCTCTCTCTCTCTCTCTTCGTTTTAATACCCAGAAGATATAACATCTTCTTCAAAACCCACCTTCTACTCCTCACCATTGTTCCTTCTTCTAGATATGTTTCTCATTCCAACCACGACAAAGCAGGCATCAACACCACAATTGCCCAACATCACTATTCTCATAGTCGATACCATCCGAAAACCCCTATTCTGATCATCTTCTTGACAAAATCGGAACCCTATCACCATCAGATAAGCTTTGGTTCATTCATCAATGGCGTCATTGCCTTATGGTTTTTTCCGACACGAACAAACTAAATAAGCTGCATATCTTCATATTTCTTTCTTGACAAATTCAACATCCAAGAAACGAGGTATGAAGCCGAAAATTGAATCAACCCTAAATCTCTTCAAAAACCCCAAAACTGAATGTTGGTAGTGGTTTCCCTAGAAGAAGGTGAAGACGATGGCTGGTGGGGTTTGTTTACTAGAGGAGGTGGGTTACGGTGGTGAACAAACACAACCACTAACAACACCAAATCTCCCCTGAATGATGAACCAGTTTTGAGATGATGAGCTGGTAACACAGTAACCCACTTCATCTTTTACATCCTCCATCTTCAACATCTTCTTCTGTATCCTATTTGATATTCCCCCATAATCCATAATCCTGATTCTTTATTAGGATCTAGAATATGCCTGGTGAGTTTACCATCATCAGGAAGAATCGTGAATATGGGAAAGAATAGTGATGGCAACATGTTTTGAACTGATGTAACCCATTTAGATTCACCCCCAAAATCCATCAACAAATTGATAGATTTTGGGGAGACCCAGATGGACCCAACAAAGGAAGAAATTTGATTTCATGGTTTGTGGTTTCAGGTGAAGCAACTCGTGGTGTGGTGTGGGTGATAGAAGTACTGAGTAATTTTGCAGGGCCCGATGGTTTTGAGGAACGGATGAGCGGGAGCCATATCTTTGGAGGTTCACCAAAATAAGCTTGACATGAGATTTGGGGTTTATTGGACAAAGCTTGAAATAAGATCTGGTGGTGTTCTGGTTCTGATGGAAAATTCTTATATCTAATTTGATGTTCTTGATGAATTTTTGGGGAAGAAACCATTAAAGAGCTTTTGTAAAGGTAAAGTAATGAAAAAGGAATGGGCATTAACGAGAGAGAGAGAGTATTTTATTTTCCTTTTATTTTTAATTCTTGTAATAAAAGAAAAATGAAAAATTAAATAGTAAGGGGCAAAATTGTTTTTATAAAAAAGTTTAAAGCAAATCAGACCAAACTCGCAACAAAATGAAAACTTTGGACCACTCGTGCTAGTCCTATGTACTATTTGTGCAGTTTATATATATATATATATATATATATATATTATATATATATATATATATATATATATATATATATATATTAAAGTTGTGATCAAGATATATAATGATCTGGCCAAGTTTTGGCAGAAATGGTCCCTTGATTACAGCCTATAATGCACTTTGAGGTTACTTTTTCTTTTATAAGTGTTTTATGGAATTACTAGCTTTCTGTGTACACGTGTTGTTCATCGCTGTGGTTGTTTCACTGTATTTCATGTTTATCTTACCTTGTTTTTTAATCTGTGGTATATCTCTTCCAGAAGCTTCCATCATTTTCCATTATTGGGTTTCTTCCACACACAAATCGAACTCATAGGATTTCTGAGTTGCTGATTATACCACTGAAGAGTGCAGTCGATCGATCGCTGAGTTCGCTTATATCACTCCGCCATAGCCGACTCCGGCTTCGCCACAAAACACTCCGATGAGTCTGCCTCCACTACTACAGAGGTCGGCGAGCCCTAATTTTGTGCAGTTCTACTTCGACCCCGACCACATCCACACTCATCTTATCGATCTTACCCCATCGGCTTCGAGGGTCTTCGTTACGCTTCCACTGCCTCTATGTGTCCTCCCTTTTCTGCTCCACCGCCTCCTGATGTTACAAGCTGAAGTCAAACCTTTCGATCACCACGATCGTCAACACGACAATGTCATTGGTTTTACCCGCCACTATCAACGCCTTTGATCTGGCTTTCACGCTTGCTTTTTTCTACATTGTCGGCGGTTGTTGATTAGATGGGTTGTTTTAGAAGTAGCTAAGTAGCGCTGGTCGCTGTCGGATATAGAGATGGAGGGCAGGGAATCCGTATGCCTATGCGTGTTGTAGCCATGTTCAAATCCTGCTGGTAATCTTATTACTCCTATTTCCATTTGATTTTAGGGTTCCATTTGTCTAATTGTTTAATGGGTCAATTTTTTTGTTGAATCTATGTAAAAAGCTTACCAGTTTATTGTGAGAAAGATGGAGTTTGGTCATATGGTCATAAACGGATGTGGAGAACAAGACGGTGAACCATGAATACAGGACAAGGTAAAGACGGTTTGTCAGATTTGATTTTAGGTTATGCAATGATGATACTGAATATATTGATCATTTTTCTTGTCAAAAATATGTTGTAAATATAAATAATTAAATATATAGTGTTCGATTGTAAACTAATTCCCTTGGTTACATGGTTTCAAGATTGAAGACAATGTAAAAAAGGTTCAAATTGTTGCAGGCTGAATTAAAGCTTGCATCTCCATCTGCACCTTATGAGAAGCTTATTAAAACATGTTGTGACTCACTCAAGGTAGGAAAGATCTGAATTTCTTTTGTTCTTTTAATCTCACTATAAACATTGCTGATAGTTTATTATATTCAAGTATAATTAGCTACTCATTTAGTTGAATCTTTGTTTGAAGAAGAGTTAACTGTGAGAATAGATACATTTGATTTTCTATTATCATCATCCTATACAAGCCATGATTACAATTTGGTACATTTATATTACATTTTTATTTGGTTGCATAGTCTTTGTTTTTTCAGAGGAAACCACTAGGAAATAGTTCTTGCATTTTACTTTATGCCAGGTTCATTGCATCTATAAAATGATAAATGATCATAATATACACCCTAATGCTGACACCTTCAGAAGCTTGATAGGTTAGTGTGTGAAATTAAAGGATGTAAGTGCTCCTTCTTGCACTTGATTTGTTTTTACGTGTGATGTTGACTGTTAACGATTTAGCGTTGTATGTAGGAAACTAAAAGTTTTAATTTTGCATAATTTATAGTTGCTGGGAGATTCATTAGAAGACGGGAAGCTAAAAGGTTACAGAATCCAAGTGAACTTACGGATCATCGGATTGAAAATCGAACAAAATTGGTTAATGGAGGTTCAAGACGACCCATGAAGGAGGATATATCATTTCACTTCTCAGAGATCTATTCGAATAAACAATGATGAAAATTTCTAATAAGAAATATCAAAGTAGGATACTATAATGGACAAATAAATAAAAATATGTTTTATTTCTTGCATTTATCATTATATGTTGAAATGTTTTGTTATGAAGAGGGTTCACCAACTACAAGGGAGATGGGTCATGGAGGTAGGGGTAGGGGAAGGTGAAGAAGTATTATCTAATTTCCAAAAAAATAATAATAATAAATAAAAATCCATTTTTTGGTTTATAATTGTTTACAACAAAATACAGAAAAACAAATTGTCCCTTAGTGTCGGTGTAATCATCCATATGGTTGTTGAAAAATGTTATCCATTTATAGTCGTAATTGGTTATTGTTATTACTCTTTGCTGGTACCCACCTTGTAGAAATTATAAGATATTTGTAAGGTTTCTTCACAAGGTTAATATTTTTGATACATTGCTTAATCTTAAAAACCATCGATTTCCATAAGCTTTACAATATCTATCTCCAAATTGATCAATCAGAGATAGACATAGTTGACATTCTTCAAAAGTCATCATCTTATTTATATGGAAATTATGTTTTATTGTTACTACATGCAATAAACTGAAAGCTTCACTTTGTAGATCTTCAAGACAGGAAATTTGGCAAAGATTTTTTAATGTAAGTACTAATTATATTCCATCTCTCTCTCCCTCTCTCTCTCTCTCTCTCTCTCTCTCTCTCTCTCTCTCTCTATAAAAAAATATAAAAAAAAAGCATCATTTGTCTATGACAGGGGCTTTCATTATGAGGCTTATCATGTCAAATTTAAAACTTAAAGTTTTCACATTTTCAGAAGCTTAATATGATTGAGAAATTCATCTTGATTGAGAAATTCTATTACCTACAATTGCATCCCATCCAAAACAGAAAACTTTTATTAATTTATTATTTAATTTAATAGAACATTTACTAAAATAATATTTAATTTCCAAATATAAACTTATTTAAAAATTAGGTATATATTAGTGTTTCTCATTCATTTTAATGATAACTGGACTTCTTGCAGTTGGAAAATCTGAAACTGTTCAACGAATTGGTTCCATCTTGGAGTCGCAACATACAGATGAAAACAAACAGAATATAATCCTGCTTCCAACTCTATATTCCTGAATTATTTTTTTCCTTCTTAATGTAGTATTGTTACACGTGTGGAGTTACAATTGGAATGGGGTGAAGTTGAGGCTTTTATGAAAGAAGCAGACAGTTCACTATTCAGTTGATATGAACATTTTCGTTGGTACAATCACATGAAATATGCAATGGCAAATTAATATTTACTGTAACAGCCCAAAATTTCCAGGTATTCATTTTGGACTTAATTATGGAAATTGTGAGTGGACTCGGCGAGTTGGAGCCCAGACTCGCCAAGTAGGATCACAGATTTGGGCGTGGGTTCGCGTCTGGACTCGACGAGTTCAAGAGTGGACTCGGCGAGTCCACGCTGTGTTGTGAAACCCTAATTTCCGGGGTTTGCGGCCTATTTAAAGGGCCTTATGGCCGTCATTTGTGCTCACCCAACCCTTAGAGAGAAACCCTTGAGAGCTGGAACGTTTTGAGAGAGAAAGGGAGCCTTATTGACCTTGTGTGTGTGATCTAGCAAAGAAGGAGAAGGATCTAAGCAAGAGGAAGAAAAGGAGGTTGCTATTCAGTGGATTTGAGGATTTGAAGCTTAGAGCATCGATCTAGAGGTATGAATTCGATCCATTTTCTGATTTGTGAAGTATAGGGAGATCTAGGGTTTCTTATGGACATTTATGGAATGATTTGATGCCCAATAGTCCTCTTCTTGTGTTGAGACTCTAGATCTGGATCCATAGAGGTCCAGAGAGCCTCACTCTTCCAGCTTTATGTATAGCAATGGAGTTTATGGCCTTGAGATATTGAAATTGAGACAAAAATATCATTTAGGGTCATATAGAGATTGTATGTGCATCAAGATATTGACTTTACATGCTAAATAAGCTTGGAGGGACTGGATCTATGGGTTAATGGACTGGATCTGACCTCATGAACAAGTTTTAGTCATTGCATGGCACGGACTCGCCGAGTCCGAAGAACAGACTCGGCGAGTAGTATGAATGTTGCCCGATCATACAACGTCTGGTCTTGCCGAGTTGGGAAGGGTTGACTCAGTGAGTCAGGGGGGAAATCAGAGTGGACAGGTGGACTGAGTCAAGTTGGACTCGCCGAGTTGTTCTTGAGACTCGACGAGTTGAGTCGTGGTGGCCCCACAACTCATGCCAGGAGGGACCCGTCGTGTTAGGGGAATACTCGACGTGTCAAGGGAGGATTTCAGGGAAATTAGTGTATACGCTCAGACTCGCCTTGTCGCTATATGCACTCGCCGAGTCCGGTCAAAGTTGACCGTTGACCGTTAACCAGGGTTGACTTTTGTTGACTTATTAAGGAGTAGCCAACCTTAGTTGGGAAAGTGTTAATTAGAGATGTATTGTGATTTAGGAGGACTATAGCTCGGGAGATCGAGCGCTAGTGATTTCAGGACTTACGACTTATCGAGATACACGAGGTGAGTCTTTTCACTATACTTTACCTTGAGTAGGTAACTAGAGTTATGTGATACAGTGCTTGTATGCTATATATATGTGTTATGTGTTGCGCTGCATTATTCTTTGTGATTTATGTTGTGCATGTTTACAGAGTTAGAACCTGAGGGTTCACAGAGTTTGGGTGCATGGACCCACAGAGTTATAGCCTCGAGTGGTTAATATGTGTTATATGTGGTATTTTAGGGAACTCACTAAGATTTGTGCTTACAATGTTTGATGTTAATTTTTCAGGTACTAGTGACGACCGCGGGAAGGCGCCGGCTTGATCCGTACACATACACTGAGTTTGTACATTTGTGATCTTGGGATTTTGTATTTACTTGAATTGGATAATTAATATGGTTGTTTTATGAATATTAAATGAATTATGTTTTATGAAAATTTGAAAATTTTGTTTGAAATTCACGGTGTTACATTTACTATTTCACATTGTTTACTGATTCCAAAAACTAATTAGTTACGGGACCCTAGAACTCAACAAATTGATGAGATATATGCTTACTACGGAACAAAGGTCAATACGGATTGATGTTTTACATAATTACATTGATTGGCTAATTTATTGATGTTTATGTTAATTGTTTATCTTATACATTGCAACACATTCAACTAAGATAAGCGGGTCCTAAAACTTGATGTCAATTGAAGTTGTTTATGTTTCTTTCTCTGAATCATTTATGCTTTAAAAAATTAATAAAAAAAATTCATATTTTTTTTTATAAATTGCATCATTTTTGCAAAATATGCACCGAAAAAGCCATTTTGTGAAAAAAAAATTTATTCGAGAGATAGATGGCGTTTTGTTAAGGTTTTAAGTTTGTAAAAGTTGTTACCTTAATGGCTGAACCATTTATCATGGAAAAATAGCTTTTTAGATTTCGATGGAATTGGAATTTCAGATTCCATTCCATTGTGTGTTTTGGAATTCAATTCCATAAGAATATGTCGACTTCGTGTTTGATAAGTTGAATATTCTTAAAGGAGGGCGTTTATGAACCGGTGTTGAACTTCTCATAAAAAGCCTAACCTCCATGATCAAATTCATTGTAGTTAAGGTTATATGTGATTGCAAGAGTTGGAAATGAAAAGGATATGGATTTGTGCATTTCTTTGTTTTTTATCATTAATTTATTTTAATTTAAATTATGTGCATCATGAAGTTGTTGAGTGAATCTTAGGGTATTTAGAGTTTACATATAGCTGTTGAAAATAGAGTTTACTTTAATTTTCAGGAACTATTTGGGTTACTACTGCATTTACAACTGACGCAAAGTGTTATTCATTTCGTTTAAGAAGATGGATCATTAATCCTTTAGATCATTTAAAAGCTCATAAGGATGGAAACAACTCAAATCTGTCTTTTTTTTTTTTTTTTTTTTTTTTTTTTTTTTTTTTCATTTTTACACAAACACCTGAACATATGTTGGGGGTTGATTTTGAAATTAATAAACGTGCCCTCAAAATTTCCGAAGTTGACCTTCACTACAAAGCACTTATGCTTAAAAATTCTACTTATATAGTTTAATTCTCATATTTTAAAGTTAGTAAATCAGATAGATCATTCCATGAATTTAGTTTATACTTTATATTCAGGAAAACTTGGTGTTCATGTTGCAGAAACACAACATTTAATGAATGGTCTTCATTGGGCAGTCATTGACTAAAACCCTGGTCGTAATCGAACCTCGCAGAGTGGGGTATCCCAGCTAGTTTATAATAAAAGTTTATATCAACTTAACAAATTCATAGATGACGCTTATCCACTAATATACTAACTTTTAAGTCCTCCAAGGCTTAGTTAAGTCAAGTGAAACATCCCAAAACACAAGAAAAATTTTCATTTTTAATATTAAAGGTAATCATTCTTTTCAAGCAAACCCAAATCAAACTCAGGTAATATTCCCAAGATCAATGTATCATAAATCTCTAAAACATAACACCAAAAGATGTGCACAAACACGCCTTCACATTTCCACATCATGTGAAGTACCTGAAACATAAACTTAAACTGTAAGAAAAATCTTAGTGAGTTCCCCCAAAGTACCACACACAACCATACAAATAACAATATGCATACATGAGCCTTCAACCTCACTAGACCTATACACTAGGCCTATAGACTATCTACACAACTCTTAGAGCCTTCAGCATCACTAAATTGTCACGATGGGCCTACAACCTATTTTGACCTCTCTCTGGGCCTTCAGCCTGATTGGACCACATTGCAGGCATTCAGTATATCCGGACCACCCTGGGTATCTTGGCCTTTAGCACAAAGCAGGACTACCTTAACCCAAGTGACCATAACATATCAACATATATATTATAACAATCAACATCCAACAAATATAGGTAGTCCTATAGATCTACCAGTCTAATACATATTAGTAATACAGATAATCATATAGTTCTATCAATCTAACGTATATCAGTAATCATCATGTAATCATATAGATCTATCACATACTCAACATAATATTGATGGGTTTTAAGAGATATAACACTTCCTAAGTGCACATGCAACCCTAAATGCTTTGGATCTATGTTTTCTCTAATTATATATGCATTTTCATTTTCCAAAGAATTCTCCTAACTGGCATACAAATTGTCAAATGAAAAATACAACTACTTAGATGACTTACCTCTTAGAAGGACTTGTAGTTCTTGACCTTTTAAAGCTTGAGCACCTCAAGTGTGATGCCTCTAATGGTTCACAAACACCAAGTGCAAGAGGAGGCTTGAGAGAATAAGTTATTTGGCACAAAATCAAGTTCAATCTCTTAGAGTGAAGATGGTACACGATTTTGGCTCTTAGGGGATTTATTTATATTGTGGAAAATGCTAGGGTTACACTTTGTAAACCCTAATGACCTTTCATATACTTAGGATCCATGGGTTAAACTTCCATGAACTATCCATGTATTAATGGTTTAGCCCATCTTAAATAACTATGGATCATTAGCCCACATTATAAATATCATTGATTTACATAATCAATCCTCATATATTTAATTAGTCTTTTTTGATCAAAAAATTAATTCCAAACTAATTCTTGATCAATACTAAATAATATGATTTCTCAATTAATATATTATAATTATAATATATTAATAAATCACAAATAACCTTATTCTCAAAAGTCCATCCTATCAAATTGTATTGATGAAGGCAACCCAAAAGGACCATGTTACAATCAGGTCAAGTACATCCCAGTTATAGTTATGGCTTAGACACTAAATCCAACAGTCTCTCACTTGGATAAGTCTAATAACTATAACTACCAATGTAACTCAAGGATCCGACTTAGCAATCAGAAGCTTTCAAAAGCTGTTGTCGAACTCTAACCTAGTCGGTGATTCGTCCTGTAGATAAGGGATCATATATTCCTCTGTTCTTAATATATCAACCGGACTAATACATGGAACAATGTCATACTTATTGTCTAACAGTTTGTTTCTCGATATCTGATTCGTCTGACATAGAACATAATTGAACACATTAATTTAGTTTTGACCGGGCCCGACACACAAGTCAAAATAGAATCATTGAGCGGCCCAAGATATCGATTTTAATCCTCTTAGGATAAAAGGGAACATATAATCTTTGACATTATATGCTTGTACTAACTACTCATCAAATCATGCATAACGACACGTTTTATAACATCAAGTTACTGATGCATTTTTGTGCCATCAATGCACAACCAACTCGTAGTTAACAACTCATATATCTTGGTTTGAAGACTATATGATATTATCGTCTCATGATCACTCTTGATAAATTCCATGAAGTGATTCAAGAGAGCACGGGTTGATCCAATAACCAAATCTTATTTCAGAAGTACTCATGAATGGTGTAGCAACTGTTGCCATGCATAACGCCTTAGAAAAATCTACAAGCCAACTCATGACAGTCGTTCTTCATCCCTACTTCCAAAGTATGATCGATTGTGGATAGTTTGAATAATCTTATTATTCGGGAAGTCAAAACATGCAAAGTGAAACACAAGAATATACTAATTCTATATGGCCCCAAAACTTGTGAGCGTAAATAAAACAACTTTTGTTTAATCACCATATTGATTACTCATTATTCACCGTATAATGTTTCGATTGATCAACTTAATACTTGAATTAAAACAATAGTTGTCTCATGCTCCAAGCATGCACACTATGTTTACCTATGGTCCTTATTTTGTGAAATAAATCAATTCGATTTCCAATTAAACTCATTTCACAATTCCAAATCTATAAGTGTAAGAATACCAAATTTTTGCCACTAAATGTGTTAGTTCTAAGCTATTATGAAAAAATTCCTTTTGTACATTCCTTTGGAGATTGTTACAAGACAATTCCATGGAGACAAAGTCTCAAATTCAATGTACATTCCTTTGAACATCCTTCCTTTTCATAAAAGTTTCTAACTTACTCGTATATTCTTGATATCCAACTCCCACTATGGAAACTTTTCCATAATTACCACATGACTATCCATTCTTAACAGAATCCCATCTATTCAGAATTATATCAATATGGTCCATTCATTACTATACTTCCAACTACCCATAAGCAACCTATCGTTAGTGAACCTTAGATTGTCCTTGATAGTTGTTTAATCACTTTAGTCATATTTAGTTCTAGTCATTTTTCCCTCTTAATGCCCTAGGCATTTGGAAAATTTGAAAACATGAATATTATATCATATCCAATCGACCTTATATCCGAAGCATGTATGACATGATTCATATTGTCTTACATAAAGACATGATACTTGATCAGTCGTTTACTATAATATTTTTATTTTCCACGTTCTCACAATTTGAACTATGAAGACGGATGTCGTAATCATAATCGAATTTTAAGAATGCAAATAACATTTCCATATATAGAATTTCCTTATGTCGAATCTTTTCAATATAACATTAATATATGTCTTTGACTAAATTTAAAAATCTCAATCTAAGCTTTTAGAATTGAAAATAAGAAGTATAAGTTCCTCTCCCTTAATTATAGCAAAACAACTTTTTCAAACCCTACTACTTTGCGAATTGAAAGCTTTATTTTCTATAATTAACATTGCTAACTTGCAACACTTACCATAATAATTATGCTCCAACTAGCATAATAATTATTATCTTACTGGCATAACATTTATGCTCCCACTAGCCTTGACATGTATCTAAACCAGCTGGACTTTTAGAATCATTACTTATTGACCTTCTTACCAAAGTTCAGATTTCTGATATGAGATTCTTCGATAAGCCTTT